CTTGAGACTTTCATCCTCCTTAAGAGCACTGGGGCTCTCAGACTGGAGGTGGGACAGTACTACAGTTTCCTGGAAAGTCTCATCAACATAGCTCTCTACCTCCCTTAGCTCCTCCAGTTCAGCCACCCTGGCCTCCAAAGCCCGAACTCGGTCTCTGAGGGTCAGGAGCTCCTTGCAACGGGTGCACACATACGCCACCCGCGCACAGGGCAAGTAATCATACATGTTACACTCAACACAATAAACAGGATAGCCCCCACTCTGCTGCTGGGCTTCTGTCTCCATTTTTCTAATGAATAAGTTTAAGTATAAACTGGGATTCTTATTAAACCTCTAGAATATAGATTATTCTAAGAGTTGTTTTAAAGAAGGTCACAAGTCACTAGTGCCCTCTAACCTCCCTCTCCAAACTCTCCTGTTAGCTGTTCCTGGTCGCTGAGTCACAGGCTTATATAGCTCTGGTAGCCCCTCCCCCTGACTGAGGCTCAGCCAATTAACAGAGGCTTCTAGATTTCACACCAAGGAAATAATGCAAAGGGATTCAAAGCTGGCTAGGGCTGAAGAAAGAAAGAAGCTTCAGTTCAGTACAGCTGAGTGACATTGTTTCAGCTCAGTTTTTCCCCCCAGCAAAATGCAGATTCGGTGACACCTTTCACCTTTGACACCTTTGCCAAATTGCAAAAAAAGAGTAAAAAATATTCTGAAACAATCTTTGCCGCTGAGAAACGCTCACGAGGCGTGCAGCGCTGCATCCCCCTGGACCCAGAGCCCTGCAATATCCTTAACTGTACACGGCCAAGGGCTTGAAACCTGCCCAGACTCAGGTCTCCGGCATGAGCCCTGAAAGTATCTGGAACACTGTGTTTTGTTTTAATTCACCCACTCAACTCAAGTAACGATGTACCTTCAGAAATCGTTTCAAACATTCCTTCTTCTGTGCTGTTCTTTAGGACACTAAGGTGCAACGTGTATATGCAACAGCAGAAAGTCATACGCACAATGGGGACAATGGGAAAAGAACTGCGAGAAAAGCTGTTTATAGCAAGTGTACGTGGCTTTCTGCAGTTTTGATGCCGGCCATGTGAATTCACATAGTCATTCAGATGGCAATTGTTGGTGTTTGAAAATCAGTAAGCAAGGACAAAACGTTGCTTTCTGATCTGCTGGAAGATCTCAGCTCCTATATTCCATTCCTCCTCCGTGCTCAGATCCCCCACTGAGCTCAAGTGGACGTTTCGTGAACAGGGTGAGCAGAAAAGCTTCAAGCCTGCCTGGGAAAAATGTTGTCCATCAAGCAGATTTTGTGATATTGGCTCTCTGCTTCTGAGGGTGGGAGATTCCTTCTACAAAGACCTGAGGCTACAGCTGGCTCCTTTTTACAGCATTCAGATCTGTTTTCCTTCTACAAAGACCTTCAGCCGGCTACAGCCGGCTCCTTTTTACAGCATTCAGATCTGTCATTGGGGGAAGAGGCATGGGGGATAAAAATAGAGCATAAAAATAAATCCTCGACATCTTGAACAAGGAAAAAGCCATAGCGACTCTTCTAAAATAGCATGTGAGTACATTAGAAAGGGCCCTTTCTTTCAAAATTCTCTGAAATGAGAAGCATTGGCATCTTAAGAGAGGTCTAAAATGCACATTTGGATGGTCAAATCAGCACAAGGCAGGTAAAGTGGGAACTTTCAAGTTGTGCTTACACACAATGGCGAGGGGTCCTAGAGAAATGACAGAATTTATTATGAGAATAATGCTTTGCTTTCATATAATACTTTCCCAGAGTAGATCTCAAAATGCTGCACAAAGCTGGTTGGAATCATGATCCCCATTTTACAAATGGGGAAACTGAGGCATAGAGGGGGACATTATTTGCCCTAGGTCACCCAGCAGGCAAGGAGCTAAGCTAAGATTCGCATGCAGGACTTTCAAGTATCAGTCTGGTGCTCTGTCCAATAGGCCATACTGCCTCTGAGCCTAAGAGCTGGTCTGAGTAGCCAAATGCAGAACTTGCAGGTTCTATTACAGTGCCCAACATTTGAAAACTGTTCCCTATTGGCCTCCCGTACAACTACGGCCTGGAGCTGAGCAAACTGAGAGCTAGCCAGTTTGGAGGCATTTTTCCTGCTCCCTGCTCCCTCCGTCTCCCTGGTGAGAAGCGCCCCACCTCCCGCAAGGCGATGGCATGTGAGCTTAGAAAACAGCCTCTCTATACTTACTACAGTGACAAGTATTCAGAATCAGAGGTAAGTCCTTTGATGGAAAGCAACACATGGAAAGAGAAAGGAAGACATTGTGGAGACAGACATACACCAGCACAATGAGACACAACGTGACACAATGAGAGCAATAGGAGTAACACCACCACATTTACCTTCACGGACCAGGTCGCGTCTGTGCCTGGGGCTGCCAGATGCTTTCCTTGTCCCCAGCGAGCTGCATCTCTGATGTGAGGAGCCTGCTGACAACTCACACTCTTGCTCTCCCCTCGTTATGCCCAGCTAACGATTACCCAGGGCTGCCCTGTTTGGATTCTGACTAGCTAATGCAGTGCCCTCTGATGGTGTTAGGTTGCCCCTGCCCATACATGGAAATCCGAGGCAGGAGATAGATATTCTGGGGCACTTGGGACCAGCACACACAGGTGATGACTCAGAGCTCACTGGAGTCAGTAGGAAGATGCCAGTTGATTGCCAGCATTTTCTTCTGACACCTCCCCTCAACCTGCTTCTCCTTGCTCCCATGCCCTAGTGTTTGTTATGGTTGCTTGTTTCCAATGCTTTTGTAACGCACACACCTTCTGGGTGTGGTGCTGCCCCGGCAGCACGCTGAGGGACTGTACACTAGACCCCTTACAGAAAGAAAGAATGAGATCGTGCTACAGCCTTTGCTAATAAGCAGCTGGCTTTTAGCTCAAGCAGCAGCGGCTCAGGCACTGAGCTCCAGAGGTCTCAGGTTCAGTTCCGCCTGTTGGCGTTGCGCTTTGGGGCAAGGGCTGTGTCTTTCTGTGGGGTCGTACAGCGCCTGACACAATGGAGCGCTTATTCTGGGTGAGGCCTGTGGGTGCTGCTGTAAATCATAAATAAATAGGCACGTCTTCCTTCCAAAGGCCTCCTGCCTGATTTGCTGGCCCAGAACTTATGGCCATAATAACCCGGCCTCCTCCATCACAGAAAATGGAGCCTTGATTCTCTTTCCACTGGTGGAGAATGCCCCTCCCTACCTCCAGTCGGCCCAGGCCTCTCAGGATGCGACTGCAGAATCACTCCTTGCTCCCCCCTCCCCCAGCAGTCCCCACAAATGCTCTGGTTCTCGCCATGCAGCACAGGCTGGTCTTACCATCTGACGACTTGGTGGGGGACACAGGTGGGCTCTTTGGTGGAGGCTTTGTGGGACTTTGCTCTGGGGAAGCAGAGGGGGACTTCACGGGAGAGGCCTCCACGCTGGCGTCTCTCTCCCCTAGAGGTAGAGAAAATATCCACTTGCTACGGAAGATATCGGGGAGATCCCAAAGGGCACGCTCCCCTGGGCACGGCTAGTTGGGACATATTGGCTCCAAGCCCAAATGGCTTGGAAGACGTAGAGGGTTTTGGGGAGTGCTGTGCACACTCGCACTGGTTAGCAGGGCCATGTCGTTAGGATTTATGGGGCCTACACAATACTGGTGCCCCCCAGCGGGGAGGGACGATGGGTTTTCACAGACGTGATTTTACAATCCTCAGGAGCCCACAAATGAAATAGTTTTAAAGCAAATTTTTAACTAAGGTCCTGTCGATTAGCACAGCGAAGTCAGAAACCGACAGTATGTACCTGGGGTTGGCCAATGCCTGTGAAATGGCTTCATTGCCACCTGAATGGCTCCTTCGTAGCTTCAGTGTCGGCTAATAGCTCTGGCCAGCTTTGCCACTTGGAAGTTAACTAGCTCCTCTCCAGAGGAGGCAGAGCTGCAGAGCTGGGACAGGAAGAGTGGGCGGGTGGGCATGCAGACCCAGCGATGCCCCACGTTTTCGGGTGCCCTACGCTGCTGCGTATTCTGCATATGGGTAAGGCCAGCTCTGCCGGTTAGAGCACTGGCTAGGGACGTGAGAGAGCCTGATTCCTGTCCCTGTTCTGCTCGACTCAGAGTGATCTGGGATGGAAGACTCCACTCTGGACCAAGCAGAGCACGGACATGAACCTGAAACCCCTGGCCAGTGCCCTAGCTGCTACCTCGCCTCCCTCCCTTCCCCCACACTTTTGGTCCAAACCCAGGCATGTCAATGCAAGTTCATTTCCACATGACTAGTTGGGAGGTTTGGGTTGCAGTCTTACGTGGGACAAAACGAAACGTGGAAACCGCAGTAGGTGCCGTGAAATGGAACAGTGGCCTCCAGTCCACCCTGCCTCCGAGTCCCACCTGCACATGACCGAACACGGCCGGGATATTTACCTTCGAGTCCCAGCTTCTTTCTTTCCACCTCTTGCTTGTACTCCTCCAGCTCTTGGTCGGTGAGCTGGCTGAACGGGTTGGGAGGCTCTGGCTCAGGAGGCAGCTCCTCCGGCAAGAGGTCTTTGGCCTCCGTGTCGGCTCTGGAAGCCAGCTGACTCTCCGCGGACTGAAACCAACCGCAGAGACGGCATTGCATCGTCAGCGCGGGGGCAGGGGGAGGGCTTGGCGGCTTTTATGGGCCATCAAACCCTCTTTGGTCCCCCTGAAGCTCGGCCCGCTAGGAGCCCAGCCTGCAGCTGATGGGCCGATCCTGAGCGCTCCCTTGTAGGGGCCAAAGCCCCGTGTGCAGCAGAACTGGCCCAGCTGCATGGCACAAGGGGAGCGGGCTGTGGGGAAGGCACATGAGCCCCGTGCAGTATGAGCTCAGCTCCTGGGGGGAGGAGCCCCTCGTGGGGCGGCTGCAGGGCGAGGGGCTAGGATCCAGGGCTCTGTCCATGGTGCAGCACAGCTTTGAAGCAGAGACAGGTCCGCTCCCACTCTGAGCTGGGAGGGGGGCCCTCAGAGCCTTCTACTCCACCTGCACACGGCGACATGGCTACGTTGTTCCTTTCCTCTGCACCTGTTCTTGGTGTCAGCCGCCCACCCTTACTACTAGAGAAAAGGGGCAGGCTTGGATCAAGATGCCCCCGATCTGACATCCACAGCGGGAGCCCGCCTGCTTATTCCCCCTTAACGCACCCCCGGCTGCTGTCTAGTCTACAGAGCTGAAGGAGAGCCAGGGGGGTTTCCTGCTCTGTAACATTCCCCGTGAATCTAGCCCCTTTGTTCAGGAGAGTACCGGACTCCTGCTCTTCTCTGCTATCACGCTGGCTAAGAGCTGCGACTGGGGTCCTGCCGACTTCACATCCTGGCGGTTTTGCTCCCGAATCTGTGGGTGAAAAAAAATCAACTAATAAGTAAAAAAACCTGAAATAAAAGTCTAGACAAAATAGCCGAGGGGCATGCTGGTAGAGCAGGCCTGACTCGCCCCTGCTTCGCAGCCCGGAGCGTCATTTAAACCTGGGCTCAGGGAGCAGAGCATGCTGATAGAGTAGGCCTGACTTGCCCCTGCTTCGCAGCCCGGAGTGTCATTTAAACCTGGGCTCAGGGAGCAGAAAAAGCGCTTGGCACTAGGATCAGTGATAACCCACAGAGAAAAAAAGGAGAGTTAAGCCCAGAATCTCGTTCTCCTCAGCTGCCCGTCTGAATCCAGTTTAGCTCAGTAGCGATTGGCTGGCCCTTGGGCTGTGTGAGACGAGCCAGGTCTTAGCCCCGTCCTAAAGGACGGGGAGTTGGAGTGTGACTCTGGAGCTATTTGGAATTCCCTCTCCGCCAGGAGGCCAGGGCCCTAATGGGTCACCGAGTGGGTTTCCCTCTGACCTACGATGGTCCGTTCAGGTCAGGGCAGAGTCATGTTTACAAGGCAGCACTCGGGAAAGGGTACATGCAACCTGCTCGCGTGCCCGCTCTGGTGGTGAACAGAGGACCTCAGAGCTGTGAGTCCAGATCCCGCCACCGTCTCTAAACTTGCTGATAAAATGAAGAGACAGAGTAAGAAAGGAAGCGGCTCCCTGGTTGCCTTCCAGGGTCTCGAAGGAATATACTGGCTCTCGGCCCCATGGGAACTAAGACCTGCCAAATCGGACGCCAGAGAGTGGGGTGACGAGAGAGGTCTGAGAGCTCCCCATACCTTGTTCCGCATTTCCAGCACTTCCTGCGGGTCTGTGTAGAGAGGCACAAATTGGTTGGGGTTTTCAATTCGGATCGGGGTCCCACTGCTGGCTTTTTCCACCTCGTCGGCCTTCAGCCACTGGCCCACGCCCGGGACAGGGTAGGGAAAAGCAAAGAAAATGCATCAAGACCGGAATTGCAGCATCACTAACACATAAGGAGAAACATGGACCCAGCCAATGAGTCTGTGACCCATCACAGGATTTTGGATGCTCCGAATTTCACAGACAAATTTCACAGAGCAAGGTAGGGTCCCTTACCGAAAAAGGGACCAGAAGCAAAATTCAGGAAACTGAATGTGGATTCAGATCTTCCTTCACATTTAAAGTTTTGGTTCAGCCCATCCGGGTTCAACTCTATCTGGATTCTGATGTGCACAGCTTGAGGGCTTTGCCTGGACTTGTGTCTAGTAAGTAATTGTTAAATTCTGATCCAAATCTTTAATGTATATATCCTACATGCCCCTGTGAGGCAGGGCAGGGCTATTATCCCATCACACAGATGGGGAACTGAGGCTAAGTGACAGGCCCAAGGTCACATAGGAAGTCAGTGGCAAATTAAGGACTTGTGTGTGCATTCTCCAGAGCCCCAGGCCCACTGCCCCTCTCTTCCTGTCTATGCCCCAGGTGACACCATGCTGGTAGAAGCCCTGTCTCTCAGTAGAAGAGGAAAGTGAACATTTTTATACAGGCCATTCGTCAATTTTGTGTGGGCTTCCTGTGGTCCCTGTTACTACAGGGAAGCAGCTTTGCTATGTGGGACCCGAGGGGTTGTTTTCAGGGATGGGTGAGCTGGTTTGAATACAAACTGCTCTTCCCTCAGACCTGGAAGGTGAGGACTTATTAGGGGTCCTACTTGGTTCCCGGCCTGAGCCCCTTACTGTGCGAGGAGTTGGGCTTGTCCAACCAAGAGAATATCTGAGTCAGCTCCAAGCATCCATTGGGCCTTTCTGCCGTTGCACAGCACGTTGGCCCTGTTCCTTTCAGACGCTGTCTCCTACTCAGCACCCATCCCCCCCTTACCGTGGTCTTGGTCCGCTGGCTGCCTGCGCTTCTCTGGTTCTCCTCAGCAACGTTCACCCGCATGTAGGTGTTGGGTGTGTTTAGCCAGCGGGTCTTCTCCTTCTGCTGCTTCTGGGCGTGCTGCCGGAGGGTGGCAATGGGAGCAGCCTCCTCCTCAAAGACAAACGACGTCACGGTGGCAGGAATCAGCACGTCGCTTTTATGCTTGGTTTTCTCCTGGACAAAGGGGTGCCGGTAGGTGTAGCCTGTTCGGTAGCCCTGGAGGGACACAAGCAGTTTGCTGCTTTTCTGGGGGGAGGGGGGGGGGGGGGGGGGGGAGAAGGTTGGAGGGAGAGGGGGAAGGGTAGAGAAAAAAAGTCATGGGGTCGAAACAGACCTAGGGTTTGGTCTGATTTTTTTGGTTTGTTTCCCATGGAAATTTTGATTAATGTTTTTTGGCTGCCCAAACCCTGGATTTCTTGGAATGGGTCACTCAAAAATAAAAGCTGCCATGAGGACTTCAACTTTTCTGACCACATACATACAGATATTTTAAAAGTGTTGCAGCAGACAAAGCAACCCCATTGTAAAACGTAAGCGGGGTTTGGTCTGATTTTTTTGGTTTGTTTCCCATGGAAATTTTGATTAATGTTTTTTGGCTGCCCAAACCCTGGATTTCTTGGAATGGGTCACTCAAAAATAAAAGCTGCCATGAGGACTTCAACTTTTCTGACCACATACATACAGATATTTTAAAAGTGTTGCAGCAGACAAAGCAACCCCATTGTAAAACGTAAGCGTGTTGCATTTTCAGGTCTTGAAATAAAGGCCGTTTTGTTTTGAAGCCACATGGATTTTGGTCCAGCTCTGCTACCTGCCCATCTACCTCCTGCCAAACCAGTGCTATCTGCTGCCCAGGTCTCTTCCTCTTCCCTGCCAAGACCAGCGCTTGTACAGGCAGTCCCCGAGTTATGTGGATCCGACTTATGTCGGATCCGCAGTTACAAACGGGGCCCTCCCTCTCCCTGGTCTCCAGCAGACCAGGGAGAGGAAGCAAAGCAGCGGAACACGCGGGCAGCGGACAGCCCAGACGCGTCTGAGCTGTCAGCTGGCCGCGTGTTCCACCGCTTTTCTCTGCTCTGCTCTGCTCCCCGTCCCCCTGATCTGCAGACCAGGGGGATGGGGAGCAGAGCAGAGCAAAGCCGCGGAGCACGAGGGCAGCAGGATAGCCACGGCGCGTCTGGGCTGTCCCGCTGCCCGCGTGGTCCGCCGCTT